CCCTTCACAAAGGCCCCCATTGAAATGCTTGACTGCTTGGTATGGTGGCTTACACCTGTAATCCCAGCACATTGGGAGGCAGAAGTGAGAGGATTGCCTGGGGTCAAAAGTTCTAGACCAGACTGGGCAAATTGGTGAGAGCTCGTCTCTACAATAAATAAAATATTTAGCCAGGTATGGTGGTGTGCATCTGTGGTTCCAGCTACTTCGAAGGCTGAGGTGGAAGTATTGTCTGAGGTCAGCAGGTTGAGGCTGCGGTGGCCATGAGTGGGCCACTGCACTCCAGCCTGGGTGATAGAATGAGACTCTGACTCGAAAAAAACCCCACGATCCTCCCCCACCAAAAAACCAAAGAAATGCTTGGCTGAGTAAGGTCAAGGCTGACCAGGAGAACTTGCTCTTTGTTCTAACCAACACCCGATGATGTTTGTGTAGCCAACCCCGACTCCTGACCACCCTTTCTTACAGCATTGACTAAATAGGAATCCTTCCTCTGTCCCCTTTGAGATAAATATGTATCTTCTGGGGACTCAATGTGTCTTTCTCCAGTATCAGAAAGTCATCTATTTGAAATGTAGCCCTCAGGAAATATTGGGCCTCTGTCTCCCAAATCTTTATGGGAGGGCAGAATCCTAACTTTGATAATTGTCAGCAAGCAAACACAGTTGGCCTGATTACTCGGCCGCTTACAGTGACTACTCGTTTGCAGTGTTTCACTTGTGCCCTACCCTCAGTCCCCTCTTTCTCCTTTTAGAATGCCCTTTCATGTGCGTATACCTTGGAATGGAGCTCAGCTCTTTCCTCTACTGTCCACACTGAATAAAATTCATTTTTGCCGCTTTAACTAATGTTTGAATTTTTAAAAAATCTCTGACAACAGAAGCACAAGCTATTATTTCTGGTGACACAGCACCTACAGAGGGAGGCACAGGTGTGATGAGAGAGGGAGGATCACCTGGCCTTCTCATGTCATAGTCATCTATTCCTAGCTGGCACCTATGAGCCTGAGACTTGGCTGGGCTGTTCTGGAGTGTCTCTCTATGGCTTTGTTGCAAGTTGAATAGGCTGGGAGTGACATTTGATATGACCACAGCTACCTTCACAGATTCTGTTAAAGTTTGAAACAAAATGAAGATGAGAAACATAGAAAATCTGATTTTGAAAGTTGTCGTCTCTCACCCTCTCCCTCCAGAGTGTGTATGATATTGCTGCGGGATATTGCTGGGCAGCAATTTAGAACAATCCACTTCTACTTATGCAGTTATCTATTTACTATTTTTCTTACTCCAAATATGAGGCCTACAGCACGACCCTTTTCTAATACATGTCAGTTCCTCATAGAGTTAAGCAGACGCCCATTTGATAAGGCAGTAGTTTTACTTATTACACTGAAAATATGAATGCATTTTTTGAGAGTCCTTGGAATTGTTTTTATCACAGTCATGTGAGCATGCAAGCCCCTCCTTTATGAACTCCTGACTCAGTTTTGTTAGGGTTTAGCATACATGACTCCGTTTTGATTCCTGACAAACATTACAGGTTATTGTTTTTCATCCATTTATCTTTAGGGCTGAAATTGTATATATTTCTGAAAATTATGAAGTCTTAATTTGTATCACTGTCAAAAGCGCTCATGTTACTGATTCAATTGCCTATTTGTGATGACATGATTGTCTTTCCTCTTCTTTCTGGTCTGTGATTAAACAATCCTTAAAGGGTATTGACGACTTTTGTCAGCCGTTAGAAACTTGAATATACCAATGAAAAAAAAATGTCCCCCGCTTGATAGAAATTTCATTTTCTATTTGAGTTAAGATCCTTTTTAGGTACAGCATTTATTAAAACAAAAAGTTTTTGTGTAATTGGGGTGGGTCTTGTGTATTAAGATCATCCTTATTATGGATATGCCATTCTTGCAGATATTGACAATTACTGGGCCCATAATATCTTCACCAAAACATGGAAAAGATAAGATGTGAATAACTTCCCATTGTTGCAGTGGCAAATATAGGAAATAGAAGAATCATCAGGATAATAAGTAGACAATTAAAAAGGCTCACCAGACGAGACTATGTGTCATGGGTCACCAATCAAGGAATGGATTTCTGTCAAGCACCAGCCAACAGAGATTGTTCCCAGAAGTTCACTTCATAACATTAAAACCAGAAACTCACACAGATGCCATTGATGGCAGATCATAAAAATGCAAAAATGAGAGAGAAAGAAAACAAACACACACAGAGAGACCGAGACCTGTCCAGTTACCTCACTTTCTATGTAAAAACCAAAGAGCTCAATTTCTGCCTATGAGATTCAACAAAAAAACCAGTAACATGAACCAACACCTCTAAGGGTAGGTCTGCACCAGGTGCCTGCTGGGTGAGTGCAGGGTTCTATTGCCTTCCTTGATGTGTCTTGAATGAACTAACTTTTTGTGTATAGACATAATAATCCTTGGAAAAATCTGTCAAAGAATATTATAGAGACAGGTATCGCCATGCCAATTCACCATTGAATAGGAGGGAGAACCAACATCAGATTATTTTCATCAAATAAAAAAAACCAATATGTTTAAAGAACAGAGAAAAATGTAGGGAGAAAATATGTAGGATCATTCTGTTTCCTTCCCTTGGATAAGCAACTTGGCAGAAAGCTATCAAACAGGTCAGCCTGGCCCGTGCTCTCTGGACCTGCATGACTTGGTCACTACATGAAACAATGACAGATATTGGAGGACTTTACAATCTTACAAACTTAGCTGTCCATTTTCTGCAGTTGTTGGTAATGTCCACCCGGCCTTCTGTTGTACCTCCCCCTTAGTTAGCCAGGAAAGCACCACTCCCCTTTCTTGAATTTTATGTATAGATTTGTAGAAAAGTTGTTGTGCCAGCAAGTAAATGGCAAAAGTGGCATTGATAGAGTTGGAAAATAAATTAGAAAAGGATTTGGTTCCCCTCCCATGGGAGATAATTTTGTAGAATTCACTCTAATTAGAAGCATTATATAAACATGATCATGTAGCAGTTGCACATGTAGTTCTTGACAATTTAGACTTATCTGCAGGAGTGACTCAAGATATGTAGAAGAATGATGATTCCAGTATTACGGTGATCCTAAAACCACGAGACCAACTTCACTTCAGATACATGTTGGAAAGCTCTAAAGAGTCATGCACAAACTGAGGAAGAAATACTGTCTTCAAAAATAACGGACAGGAGCGTGATGGAGATGAGTAGTTTCACTAGTCACAACATTGTTGATAGAGCAATCACTAAGTCCAGGCACATACTGGGGATAG